CACAAATTCGCATCAGGGTAGGCCCTCTTCATTCTCATTTTTAGGCGTACTCAGAAAAGTTAAGTGACGAAACCAAGATCATTCAGTAATTGGAAAACGTGGGATTCACAGTCAGCTCTGACTACAAAGATGATTACTTGAAAGAAGCTGTGATGATCACACTGGCTTTGCAACCTGTAAAGTGTTATGAGGGAACCGGCAAATGGCAGGGGTTCCACTGTACTGAATAGACGAATGGATAAAGGAGTAAGTATGCAGATAGATGCTCCTCAAGGCCCTGGGGCCTAAGGGGTCAGAAGACCTGGGTTTTAGTCCCAGCTCTGGCACTTCAAGGCCGGGTGTACTTCGGGGAAGTCATTGCACTGCTCTGAAACACATTTCTTAACCTGTAAGTGCAAATGTACTGGGCTATTGAGGGAGCTATTTATGTTGACTGTGTGTGTGTTTTTCTGTAACACGTTGAGATCTATTTTCCAGTCTGGGCGAAACTGGAGCAATTCTCAAGAGGAGAGATTTTCCCGCTTGGTTTCCGAGCTCTAAATTCATTGGTGAGGCTCTCTGGGGAGGGAGGAGGCCCAGGGAAGAGAGCCCTCTGCTGGCCACTAATATACCACATCGGCACAAATCCGGGCAGGATGCCACGTGAGGATTCCCAGCTCCCCATTGAGGCCAGAGGACAAGGGGTTGATGGGGGCGAAGGCCTTTCTAGGGCTGGAGTGTGCTTTCTAAAGAGCAATGCTGATTATGTCACTCCTGCCCTAAATACCTTCAGGAGATCTCAGCTGTGCGCAGAGGACACGAAGCCTTCGAGGCAAGGCCTTGCACCACCTTCGCCCTTCGCATCCGGCCACAGCCTCCCCTCGGCATCACCACAGCCCTCAATCTAACCTCAGCAACCTCGAGGGAGCCTCCCCTGACGCCCCGCCCAACCCACCCAGTGCCCTGGTGCTCCAGGACCCTGCAGCCCTCCCCATCCCTGGAGTTAATGGGGCCTTAATGACACATCCCTAATGAGGTTTCCTAATTGAAATGACACCCATGTCTAGGGAAAATCTCCTGTAGGAATTCAGGGAAGCTCAGGAACAGGGGTGGGGACATGGAAAAGTTCTCTGGGACCCCAAGCCCCATAGGTTTTATCTTCTAAACATCTCTCAGAACCATATGCTCCATCTCCACGACACCACTCTTATGCGAACCCCATCACCTGTCACCTGGACTCCCGCAGTGGCCTCCTCAAGAACTCTCCCAGACTGCACCTCCAGGCCGCGAGTAAATTGCATCAAAAAGAGGAGTAAAAAAAGAAGATGTGATCATACTACTCCCCTGCTTAAAATTCCTTAGCAACTTCCCACTGCATTTAGGAAAAAGATCAAAATCCTCATTCTGGACCAAAAGAACCTGCAGGACCTGGTTCCTGCTGCCACTGCCGCCTTGCTTGCTCCATGCCTCTGGCTGTCTTTCTGCACAGCCTGGCCCCCTCAGGGCCTGTAGAGATGCTCACCCTCTGCCTCTGCCTCCTTCACTGGTTAAGTCCTACTTGTTTATATGGCTATTCAAATGCCCTTCCCAGTCAGGTCTCTGTTAGATGTTCTCATAGTGTCTTATATTTGCTTCCAAAGCATGCTCTCAGTTTGCAATTATACATTGGCTTGTCTGTTGCCAGCTTCTCCCGGGGGTGGAGGCTGCATGAGCGCGGTGCCTGTAGTTATTTTGTTCGTTTAGTGCTGGGCGTACTGGGGGTGCTCAGCACTGACTTTTAAATGGAACGGGAAATGAGAATCTTGGGAGAAGAGAATCGACAAGCACAACCCAAGCACAAGGAGGCCCTCAAATACTTTGGAGCCGGCAAGGCTTGGTGGGAAGGAGAATGGCTTGAGAGGGGCAACCCAGAAGGGGAGAAAGTGGGCTCGATCGTAGTCCCGAAGGACGGGGCTGTGGGGGTAGGTACTGTGATGGTGGTGGCAGAGAAGCCAGCCTCCTGGGCTCTTTGGTTTGCATTCCTTGCTCAAGGGTAAAGGTCCCTCTGAGGGTGTCCAATGGGCAAAGCCCAAGTTATGTGCCCAGGTCCTGGTTACCCTGCGGGGGAGAAAAGATTATTTTCTAGCGTGGCTTCCAAGGAGTGATGCAGCGTCCTCACATAATGGGAAATTCTTCAAACTAGAAAGGAGTTTGGATGCTGACAAACCACTAAATGACCAATGTCCACTTCATGGAGAGAGGCATGAGCAGAAAAATGGAGTGAGGCAAGCAAGCAGCTATAACGATGGTGTCCAGATACCCCTGCAAGTAGACATGCATGTCAGGGACTCTGAGACGAGATTAAGTAGAGGGACTATTTCCAAAGGTGTGGGTGGGTAGAGGAGAACCACAAGGGCTAGCACGGCTTCCGGGTCTAGCAGCAGCTGAGGTGCAGAGATGAACCCTAGGCTTGAAGGGGCAAGGGGGGGAGCAGGTGTCTGAAACCCGAAGAGAGACTTATGTGGGGACAGTCATTTGCAGGCGCCGTGACTCTTTCATGAGAGAAACTGTCAGCCCACCATGGTATTGGAAAGATGGAGCTAGAAAATAAGTACCTTGGTGGCGCAAGCAGTTAAAGTGCGCACGCTCTGCTGCTGCGGCCCGGGGTTCGCCGGGTCGGATCCCGGAGGCACACCGATGCACTGCTTGTCAAGCCATGCTGTGGTGGTGTCCCATATAAAGTAGAGGAAGATGGGCACAGATGTTAGCCCAGGGCCAGTCTTCC